ATTTTCAGTGTTTAGTTTGGAGTATTAGCAATAATATTAGAGACAATATTTAGAGAGAAACAGAGATAGGTTAAAAACTTAACCTAGCTCTTATACATACTTGTATTTATAGTTAACCTACAATAATAAGAATTACTCATACACCCTCTTATTATTAACAATTTATATATACTACTCTATTATTCTTAACACTCCCCCTCAAGTTGGACTATATATATCATATAATTCAAGTTTGGAACAAATAGCTGTAAGACGTGTACGACTCAATGTTTTGGTAAACATATCTGCAAGCTGATCTTCAGATTTCACAAATGGAGTTGTAATCTTCCCAACTACTATCTTGTTCTGAATAAAGTGAAAATCAACCTCAATATGCTTAGTTCTCTCATGAAATACAGGATTGACAGAGATATGGATAGCTGTTTGGTTGTCACAAAACAACTGTAAAGGAAGTTGAATTAGAAACCCAATTTCCTAGAATAAGTGTAGTACTCAAGTCAAATCACTTGTTGTATGTGTTATTGCCCTATACTCAGCCTCAACACTGGATCTCGCTACCACGGGTTGTTTCTTACTTTTTTATGAGACAACATTATTCCCTAAGAAAGTACAATAATCAATGGTTGATCTCCGATCAGAAGGAGAGTCAGTCTAATCAGCATCTGAGAAACCTTCCACTCTAAGGTGTCTATTAGCTCGATATAACAGTTCAAGTCCAGGAGCTCGTTTGAGATGTCGTAGAATACGAGTAATTGCCTCCCAATGTGGTACTCTAGGACATTCCATGAACTGACTTATTATATTGACTACATAGGAAATATCCGGTCGAGTAATAGTGAGATAATTAAGTCTCCCAACCAATCTACGGTACCGACCTAAATTCTCAAATAATGTACTATCATCCATCAATAATTTCTGATTCAGATCCATAGGAACATCAATCGGTCTACCACCCAGCATACCTGTTTCCTCAAGCATGTCAAGTACATATTTTCTTGGAGATAAACAAATAGTCTGTTTAGATCGAGCCACCTTCATACCCAAGAAGTACCTGAGTTCTCTCAAATACTTAGTATGAAATCGATACTGTAAGAATATTTTTAACTTGACAATCCCCTCAGAATTATTTTCAGTAATCACAATATCATCTATATAGACTACCAATAGGACATATCCAGCATCTGTCTGTTTATAAAATACAGAATGATCTGTTTGATATCGAAAAAGACCAAACTCTAAAACAACATCTGAAAATTTACCAAACCAGCTCTCGGTGACTGTTTCAAACCATACAAAGATTTTTTTAACCGACATACACTCTTACCATACTCCCCCTGAGCAGTAAACTCAGGTGGCTGCTCTATGTATACCTCTTCAATCAAGTCACCATGTAAGAAGGCATTCTTGACGTCTAACTGAAACAAGGGCCAATCAAGATTAGCAGCCAAATAAATTAAGATACGAACAGAGAAAATTTTGGCAACAGGAGAAAAATTCTCCTCATAATCAACACCATAAGTCTAAGTAAAGCCTTTTGCAACAAGCTGGGCTTGGAGACACTCCACAAAACTGTCTGGATGAAACTTAACAGTTTACACCCAATGACAGCCAACAGTTCGTTTACTAGGGGGTAAAGGAACGAGATCCCAAGTCTTATTATGATGTAAAACATCCATCTCCTTCTCCATAGCTTTCCTCCAACCCGGATCAGATAATGAACCGAACTGCAGAAGCCTTCTGAACCGCTAAACCACCAGACTATTGAACCACATTGAGCCAATGAACCGGAGCAACAACTGAGTTGGACCACTGAACCGGTGTAAAAGACAGAGGAAATGGTTTGAACCGGAGTAAAAAAAAAAAAAAACTACCTGAACCGGCTGTGTCCAGGATTGAACCAAGTCTGATCCGGATTTGGACCGGTCTGGTCTGAATCTGACTTGATCCGAACGAAGTCTCCTGGGTCTTGGATTCGGTTCTTGATCTGGATTTGGGTCTAGGTTTAGATTCGGGTCTGGATCTGGATCTGAGACTTGGGTTTAAGTAGACTTGGACCCAACCCGTTACCCAAAACCCGACCCACTTGATCATTGTCTTCTTCACTGAGTAGGGTTTCAACAAAACCCTAATTTCTGCACTATAGTCGGCTATACCAGTGCCGACTACTCAACCACATAGCACACAACTAGGCACAGTCAACTCGACTGCACCAACGTTGACCCCACCACCACGAAGCAAGGCACCACCACACAGCAAAGCGCCACACAAAGCAAGGCACCACTCAGTCGACTACCACCACCTCAACAACAACACCTCCACAGCGACAACTTCCACCACAACCACGATGGGTTCAACGAACAGTACCCATAATCAATTTATTCACAACATATATATATATATGTGTGTGTGTGTGTGTGTGTGTGTTTATGATCGTAACTGCTCTGATACCATGTTAAGTTTGGAGTATTAACAATAATATTAGAGATAATATTTAGAGAGAGGTTAAAAACTTAACTTAGCTCTTATACTTGTATTTATAGTTAACCTACAATAATAAGAATTACACATACACCCTTTTACTATTAACAATTTACATATACTATCCTATTATTCTTAACATTCAGGAAATTGTACCTCAAACCCCTCAGACTGCCGCTATTTGTTTATCATAACTGATGATCTAGTGATCAATTTTGGAACATGCCAAATGTGATATTTTTCCTTTCGTATTCCCTTCTGCATAATGACGGTGGAGTGTTTCAATACAACGACATTATATCAAATAAAAAAAACCACCGAAATAAAGATACTAAGTAATAAAGGCATTAGTAATGTGTTGCATTGGGAGTATTCTTCTTATGTAAGACCTTAAAAGTTAAAAGTATAGGATCAATAAAAGACTGGATGTGCCAAAATCACTGCGTTAGACATCATTCTACAGAGTCAAGTTGATTCAATTGCATGGACCATGGTTTACTTACGCTTTTCATGTAGGAACTGAGTATGTGCCAAAGATGTGTTGGGTACTGACAAATCTCCACTTTCTTGACACATGCCCAATATATGGGAGACATGGCAGAAAATTCAACATTATTAGTTTAGTTTTGGAACCTGCTAAAATCCAACTAAGAGAGGATGAACATTTCTGATTGAATTATTTATTTTATTTTCAAAGGGGATCTAGTTACTGAGGGAGTGTCTCTGTATCATGCATATGTATAACACAGAGTTTGTGTCATGTTCCGGCGTCTATGCAGTGCAGCATTATATTGGAATTCTTTGATTGATTAATCACAATTTTCTGTTCTATTGTATTTTTGCTGTGTATTATTCTTCTTTCATCTGCATTGAATTGTTGCACGAATGTGTTATTATAGAAATTAGGAGGATAGCTTGCCTTTGCCTTGTGTAGTGAGAAAATACTCTAACTAGTAGCCTCAAGATTGTGGGTTCGGATGTGCACATAGTAGGTCATAACTAACAACCTCAAAATTTGGGGTTTGAATATGAGTGTAGTCAGTTTGTGCTTGAAAAGTCTGTACTCAGTTCATCTCCAGACTCCAAAGGCATTTAATGGGAAACAAACTAGATAATAACCTTTTCAGCGGCTGTCTATAACTGTTAATCATGGTAGTGTCATTCAGTAAATTCTAATAGTGTAAGGAATTCAGAACCCATTTCGTTCCCATAATCTAGGGTGTTGGGGAGACGAACTGGATATAATATATCCTTTTGGCGTTATTTGTAAAAAGTGACTGCTATTGTGTCAAACCTACAAGCTTAGGTTCTTAGCATGAGCTTTTACTATTGCACTAGGTAATGACCCCTCAGTGGACAAATTCAAAATATTGAAGCACTTGTATTTGGTATTCTATTATTTTGATGGTTGTCCTCATAAACTGTTGAGTTGGGCAGACAATTTACTCAAATTTGTTGCTAGGTGCATAGTAAATTTTTTTGTGGCAGCCATCATCAGTTGCAGAACCATAAATCTGGAATTGGGCAAACTTTGTGCCTAAGCTGCTCAAAAGCATTGGGAAAATCAGTTTGCAAAGGTCTGTTTTAACAGTATCCGGTTACCCCTTTCCGTTTTAATATTAACATGGCAACCCCTGATATTTCTAACTTTTAACAATAAGACCTCCCCAGACACCGGAAAAGATGAAGCTAACTAAAATAATGCTCAAAATGCCAAAATTGTCCCCTGCATTCCTTGTTGAAACAAAATAATCCAATTTCCAAATTAGTTATTCACGGGGCAGTATGAACCTGGTAGACAAACACCCAATTCTCCGTAATCTTCCAATTTTGATCAATCTTGACCGAACTAAAAGTTTGAACCAAAGTTAAATAGATCATTTCGAGAAATTTTCAACTGGGATCTGCATATGCCATTTTTTAAATGCCAGTGGTGGCCAGATATAACCCATATGCCAGGGTGTTATTGTAATTTGCCCCTCTTTTGAACTACCTAGCCAAGATGGTTTGCTCAAATCTAAATTTCCCTGCCATCCTTAATGATTTGACTAGCACATTGGACTTTGCCAATTCAAACTTGCGAAAGTCATGACTAAATCCTCATAACAGCGTTATAGACTTATAGTGATTGCAGAGTACAGACAGTAACTAAACCTTGAATCCTAAAATATTTAACATTCTTGATCCTTCCTTGTACTAGTCTTCTCAGCTGGAATCATAAATGGATCGTCTCCTATCTAATGATCTTTTCTATAGGTGCTCTGAGCCATCTAAACTTTAATCCATCGTGACCTTCACAATAAAAAACCACATTTTGAAACTGATGATAAAATTGGCACGAATGATGTGTCAATGACTTAATGCCATTGATCGAGGTGTGCATAGTAATTAATAGTGATGGAAGTTTGGTTTTTCTTCTGTTAATGCATTAGATGACAGAATAATTCCAGGAAACATCTTTCCCAAAAACTGTAGTGAATTTTATGTTCTGATGTAATATTTGTCTGTGTGGGTGTGCGTGCATGTTTTCTCCGAACCGAGTTACTTTTATCCTTGTGTCTCAATGTGAAAATGCCAGGAGTTCACCAGTACCATCTCATAGCTATTTATTCCAGATTACCAAGTGCAGCCCAAGTACATTGTTGTCCTCTTTGTAAATATTCCCAAGCAATTATGGTCTTGTTAAAAGTTTTATGGATGGCCTTACCATGCAGCTGAGATAGCTTGGCATGAGAGGAGAAGGGCATGGATCGGTGAAAATCGATCTCAAAGATCACAAAGAATGCCTAGGGAGCAAATTATGAGGTATTTGATTCTTTTTCATTTTAGCATATAACTTTCACTTCCATATTTATTTTTTCATGATTATGTATTTTTTTAAGGTTGACCATTGTCATTTTTCATTTTTACTCTCCACATTCATGAGACACAACATAAAATATGTTGTTTATTCAAGCTTCTACAGATATCAGCGAAATCATGTAGATATTAGTAGACTTGTACAGTGATTACATTTTTTTGCCTCTTCTTCTTCTTCTTTGCTCTTTTTTTGTTAATTTTTTTCCTTTCCAATCCTTTTGCTTTATGCCTTACTGGGAAGGAATTAGTTTGTCAAAAAAAAGATGAACAGAATACAATATGGTGAATGAAGCATTTAGATCCCTTACTTGACTGACCTGCCATTCTGCATTAGAGACCTGGAAGAGTTTCCAAATTTCAATAGTAACAATCAATGTGTTCTGTTGTGAGAACTTGAAATGACGACCCATGTAATTCAGTATATACAATATTATTCATATTGATTAATGGATCTAATCCTATGTTTAAAGAAAATTGGTGAAGGCTCAAGGCATAGAATCTAGTTCTCTGTATAAAAGTAGAAGGTAGCCGCAGCATGAGTAGCGCTCTTTCTTTTTTACGGCATCTTTGTTTCATTCTGTATTTGCGGGGTGGTAAAATATTAGAGTCTTGAAGAGATGGCGCAATTTCAAGTAGTTTGAAAATATAGTCACCTTAAATTCCATTAATAATGTTTAGAAAGACATGGGGATTATTCAAATTATAGCAAACCAGAAAGAGGGTTGATTTTATATGTTAGTATAATTAATCATGCTATGGGATGTAAAAAACGTTAAATATATACGTTTTTACGGTTGTCAAGTTATGGCACGGGTTGTTTTAAAAAAAAAAATTGTTTTGGCCTGGTATGTGTTCACTTGCACAATTTGCAAACATAAGCACATACACATTTCCATGAATAATAATGTTGACATTTCCAGAAAAGCTTACTTTTCCTGCAGGCCACCCACGAGGAGGAGATAGACATTCCAACCTCCAGATAGCTTAGTAGTACATTGGGAATTCAGGATTAAAAGAAGAGGCTATTGTCACTTTATAGAACTTTAGAGGAGGTTTCTGCTACTTGAACCTATTGTGGTATACAGGGACCTAAGAAAAATTGACCTTACATATCTTCTCTTGCAGCTGGACAACTACTTATGAGGAGCTGCTTTCATCTACTGAACCATTTCATGAGTCAATTCCATTAGCTGTAAGTTTTCTGTACGCCTCTCTAGTGCCTGCTTATTGCGGATGTCAGTTCATTATCTTTGTTGATGCTGCAGGAGATGGTGGATTTTCTAGTTGATATCTGGCTTGAAGAAGGTCTTTACGACTAGGTGAGTAGTGAAACTTCCTTGGTGGGCAGCAATAACATTCTGCAGTTTTTTTTTTTTAAGCCTATACCTCACACGACCAGTTACACTCAACACATTAGCTGAATGAAATAGTTGGGTTCTCTCGTTTCTTTGATTGCATAAGCAAGAGTCCCTTTACTGGAATATTGACTTACTGAAATATAGTTTGATTTGATGGTCATTGGCTATGAAATACCTATTGTTGTATGAATTACAGAGTTGGTACTGTTATAGTGTTATGGGATATACTTTATATTCATTGCTTCTTTCTTGTAAGTGCCTGGTCAGCTTACTCTCTGAGTCAATAGTATATGTTTCATGCTTTAATGTGCTAGCAATGGCAATTTTAAAGTCTCTTGCTTCATTTCTTTGATGATTCAAGCAATGCAGCTTTATGCCAAGCCAAGCTTAACCCTCACATCTGCGAGTGAATATTGAATGTAATAGTTATATCACGTCAATATTGTCACATAGTGTAACCGTCTAATGATAATTTAACAATTAGGCAAAATAAACCTCACTCTTGCAAATAATTATTCTGTCACGTAAGACAATAATCGTCATATATTCAAAAAATGGGATTCATTGACGTACTTGTTGAGTTATTATTGGACAGTTTTATTATATGATATTGTTTACGGAAAAATGTTATTTAGTCCTAATTTAGAGATCTAATGTAATACAACAATTCGATTGGTTGTGGGTTTCATCTTAGAACTCACAACTAATCTAATGGCTGCATTGAAACCACATCATTAGGTCCCCAAATAAGATTTTTATAGCATTGCTCTTGTTTACGCGGTGTAATAGTTCCGATCAACATTTA